CTATCTATCTATCTATCTATCTATCTATCTATCTGATCATCTATCTATGTTATTTGGACCTAATTGTATTCCTTTTTTTCTATCACAAGAGACTGGAGACACATGAAGAAACAGAAAAATGTTCATGTTCGGGTCCATTTTTTCTCTTCAACCATGAAATCTCTTGCAGAATGATTATTGCTTATAATCAAAATTTCATGGTAAATTTATTTCAGAAAAAGCTGCATTTTATGCTTCCTGGTAAGTATGAGAGACAAAAAGGGACTTGAATGTGGAAAGAATTCTAAAATGTATGTTTTAATGGTTAATACAGCACCATATTGAATGAGGATGAGTCTGGTCAGGGGCAGAATATGTGCTTGACTTCTTCCTCCTTACGACATGTCTTCAGTTACTAAATATTATGTTAAACTGCTAGAAAAGACCAATACAATTTTCTGTTGTATTGTGAGTTTGAATTCTGGATTTTCTTCCTGTTTCAATCTGTTGATAGAACAGGAGCCTTGAGCTGTTCACAGCATGGGTAGGTGGGTTCTGAGCATTCCTGAAATGATAGGTTAGTAAGCCACTTGGGGCCTTAGAACTTGATAAAAAAGCCATTTGATTGTCATAAATCTCAATTTTTATCTGCAAAACACAAAACTATTGTACCTCCCTCATACTTATTTTGCTTATACATATTCAACAAAATAATAAACAGTCAACTTGCCTAGTCAATAACTTATTTCACCATATTTTCTTTAATTTTAGGAAAATAAAAATTAAAAACATAAATGTTCAATTAATTTTGGGTGTATGAATGTTGAAAAACTGAATTACTTACTGAGGAAATTTTTAATAACGTTAATATAAAAATATTTTCGTCAAATTTTTACTTTAGGTTTGAATACAAGGCAAGTCACTATGTATGTCATAATGGTCCGATTAAATTGTGTAAAAGGAAGAGCAAAAGAAAGTTAACCATTTTAACCATTATCCTGGCATGTCTATCAGAAGTATCAGCTCTAGTTGATGCCCAGGGCTATCCACACAAGATGCATAGCTATTAAATTTAAGACCAAGATTTTAGTCAAGTGTCTCTCTATAGCCCGAGAAGTAAGTGGGACTCATGATAGGTCTTGACAAGAATGCCAGTTCCAGACGAATTTGTCTTACATAATGAGTTTGTAGACCTCTATAAGGCACTAAAAAATGCTGCTGAAGTATTCTAAAGATGAGTGGATATAATATGATTTTAGAAGATACAAATCTTTGTAAATTAGAAATTTTGAAAATGTGAAGTGTATGGTTAAGTTAATGAACACAAATATATCTACTCACATAAAACCTGTAACCAGACTAAAAGGTCTTGATTAAAAATTAAGATGTGAGGTCTGAAAAAAATCAGTCAGCAGTTAAGAGTTCTTACTGCACTTGTAGAGGGTCAGTATTCAGTTGCCAGCATTCACATCAGGTGGCTCCCAACTACCTGTCAGTCCAACTCCAAAGGATCTGACATCCTCTTCTGATGTCCATTGGCATCTGTATGTATGTGCACATATATACTTGCAGGCACATACATACATATACCTTTTTAAATTAAGTTATAGAAAAATTAAGTTATGGCTATAAACTTATCCTTTCTTCCCAGGTCCAATTTACTTCGTGAATGGTTTCCACTAAAGGATAACACATTTAGATTTTCAACTTTTAAGGCAAAATGAAAGAGTAAATTATTCAGATTTCAATATAGAACACTTCACATATTTGTCTGATATTTATAGTGAACAAAATTTTCTGGTAAGTAGATGGACCTTCAACTTCTACCGTAAAGGCTGATTCATGTATTAGAAATTCAATGACTGTGTCAAGTTTGGAATGTTGCAGGTCCATAGCCTAATAACAATTTATCTTTGACTATCAATATTCCCTTTTATAGCTGTTCCTTTGCCTGGATCTCTTTAGAACCTAATGTCCTGTGACAAAGATAAAAATCTGTTGGAATGTATTAATTTAACAAAACCAAATGTTTCACCAACCAAAAATCTAGGTGTGGCACCAGAAGGCATCTGAGGCCTACAGCTGAGATTCTTCCACCTTACTGTAACCTGCCCCTGATGTTTTCATCAATGTATTTGAAAAAGTATCTTGATTTATGACTTTCTTTTTTCTGTTACTATAAAAACTTCATGGAACTACTTTCATGTTGTAACATGGAATGGGCAGTGACCTCTGTGTTCTCAGGACATGGTTGCCCATATTTGGCTTCAGATTATAGTCTTTCATCCTCTTCGAGTTGAGGCTTTGTTTCTGCAAAATGCTGGAATACATTAATTTTATTAATATAGAATAATAAACAGTAGGAGGGCTTTTGACTTGTCTTTTTGTGTCTTATTTTTGTCCAATTTGACTGTTGTCTTCTGGAGATCTACCTTTTTCTGAAGAGGAAACAGAGTAGGGGTTGATCTCGGTGAGGGGCATGCGGGGGGACTCTGGCAGGAGTATATGGAGGAGAAACCTGTGGTCAGAATGTATTGTCTTGTATGAGAAAAGAGAGGAAGCCATAAAAAATTGGATGATTCCAACACTGACTAAATGTCTACCAGATATTTGTTATTATACTAACTTACATGGTTTATCTTTCTATGTTCACATTGCCTGGTAATTTAAATACTATCATTATCACTAGTAATCTGTTTTTAAAATAGAATTTATTGCTAGAGTTCCTACAAAATTAATCTACCTTTTACAGCTAGGAAGTAGGGTTCCTGCCTTTGGAATTAGGCTGCCTGAGAAGCACCATAGCCCAGAGACTTGCCTCTCTACAAGTTGGACACTCATTCTTTCTAGAAAACACCTTTTGTAGAACATTTGTCAAAATTTAGCTGAGAGAATTTTCTCAAGGTAACATGAATCTATATTTCCTAGTCTTTGGTATGTTTCTCTGGTTATGTTTCTGATGTCTATGCTTCTCTATTTCCTTGTCTGGACAAGCTGTATTTTTGAAGAGGTGTCCTTGTCACTACTATGAATTACCTCCTGAAAGTACCACTTAGCTTAATATAATAGGCAAACACTCATTACTTTTGCATGTGTGTTGGTATTAAATTATTTTCCATAGAATTTATTTACAGAACATTTATGACTTTAAAGTTCTCATATTATCCTCCTTTTTATTAAAGTTTGAAGAACAAGAAGATATATAAGCTTGGCTCTATTTTTTGTTCACTTTAGAATTCCCATAATTGAATTCTTTAAATATTAATTCTTAATTTTCATTAATAGTTGGAAATGATATTATTGATGCCCTGTTATTAAATGAAAACCTGCTATTGAGGTTTTCACACATAAATTTATTCAAAGCTCTTGTTTAAATTCCTCATGAGAAAATGTCGATAAGGGCTGAGAAATCTCCCAGTGTGTTTATAGTCTAATGGCAGTGGAGTGATATGGAAATCTTTGTGTTGTCTTTTAACCTGAGTTGTTAGAATGTAGTGCTAATGTTGGAAATCACTAATTCAATCTTGCCCCACTTAAGAATTTTTATAATTTTTCTTAGCTTTCTTATTCCAGTTTATATATTTTTTAAAAAATACATCACAAATTAAAAATTTTGTGTTTATTTATATATTTTTATTTCAAATCTCTTCAACTACTTCTGGATATTAAAATGGCAGAAAAGATGAACAAGAAATGCAAGTACAAAGAAATATTGTAATGAGTAAGTTTCTTCTAGTATATGAGGAATATTTTTTCAAATAAATTTAATTTTAATATGTATTTGATAACTTTTTAATATTTTCCATTCTTTATTCATGAATATTATGGTTTTAAAATGACTTTCTATAAATCACATTTTAAAATGAAACCAAATATTTTTATTTTTAGGATCTATTCAAATGTTGATTGTTGTTTGCTTGCTTATAGTCATGTGGGTAATACAGAATAGACACAATAAACATTAAGTAGCCAAAATTACATCAGAAAGTTCATAGTGACAAGGAAAGAAAGTTAGTATTTTGGATTTTGTTTCAGTTATTAAGACCATGAGGAAGAAACTTGGTCAGTCATTCTCATCAACTCAGACCCTAAAACCCAGTATGTAAAAGTTCCACAGAAACATAGTCCCAGAATCTAGCAGTGCCTCAGTACCTCCATGTCCTAAGTACAGGACAGATCATACTTCTCTCTTAAAACCAAAAGGGGGAAGGGATGTGATAGAAATGGACAAGAAAGGCACTTCTTAATGCTAAAGAGTCACCACAGTAGGGGCATGAAACCTGAGAACACTAAACAGAGTTGGGAGAACCAGCTTGCTCATGCATGAGCTTGCTCACTTCAGCTGAGATGTCATTGGGTTGGCAGAAATGTATTGGACAGGGACACAAGAACTTGTAGTAAACAGATGCAAAACTATAACTCCAGTGGAAAGGGAAAATGCGCAACGGGTGTAGCTTTAGTATTATCTAGCTTGGTCCAAAATTGCATGCTTGCATTACAGACCTGTAAATGACTGAGTTATATCAGCCAGATTTCAGACAATAACACATCCAGTAACTATCATACAGGTATATGCCCCAGTAGCGGAAGCAGAAGAGGATGTCATTAACATTTTTTTACACAAATCTAGAGAACAAAGTCAGCAAGGTGCATAAGAATGACATATTAATCATTATGAGTGACTTCAATGCAAGAAATTGGAGAAAGAATGGACTACAGTGTAATGTAAACATATGAATTCAGACAAAGGAATATTAGAGGAAAATGACTGCTTGAGCTCTGCTATGCAAATGATTTATACATACCCAACACAAAATTTAAGCAGGCTAATCCGTCAAGATGCTGGACATAAGAATCTCCTGAGAGGCAGGCAGTAGCTACTTCCGCCAGAAGTCCCTAGCGGCTCGGGTTCGGATGCTGCATCCCGGCCGTCAGAGGCCGGTGGCAGCGGCTCCTACAGGGCCTGCCGCGAGGCCTCCCCAGGCCGAGCCCCGGCCAGTGGTGGGGAAGAGACAACGCCAGGGAGCGGGTCCAGGGTGGTGCGGACCCCGCAGGCCTTGCCGCATACGCCCAACCGGGGCGGGGCTCGACCTCCCGGACCCGCCCATTAGGGTTGCCTAATTCGGGGCGGATTAGCCGCATCTCACTTGCGGGAGTCGTCATCCCCCAGGCTGAGGCCACCCGGGGACCATGGAGTTCGCGGAGCTGATTAAGACCCCACGGGTGGACAATGTGGTGTTGCACCGGCCTTTCTACCCTGCCGTGGACGGGACCCTGTGTCTGACGGGCCACCACCTGATCCTGTCCTCCCGGCAGGACAACACGGAGGAGCTCTGGCTCCTCCATTCAAATATCGACGCCATTGGCAAACGGTTAGTGGGCTCTCTGGGTACCATCATCATAAAATGTAAAGATTTCCGAATTATTCAGTTGAATATTCCTGGGATGGAGGAATGTTTAAATATAGCCAGTTCCATTGAGGCATTGTCTACTCTGGACTCTGTCACCCTGATGTACCCCTTCTTCTACAGACCTATGTTCGAGGTGATTGAAGATGGCTGGCATTCCTTCCTTCCTGAACAAGAGTTTGAGCTCTATTCCTCTGCTACCAGTGAATGGAGACTGAGTTATGTCAATAAGGAATTTGCTGTCTGTCCTTCCTACCCGCCAATTGTCATTGTGCCCAAGTCCGTCGATGATGAAACTCTTCGGAAAGTGGCATCCTTTCGACATGGGGGCGCTTCCCAGTACTGAGCTATTACCATAAAAAGAACGGCATGGTGATTATGCGAAGCCGTCAGCCTCTGACTGGCACAAATGGGCGAAGGTGCAAGGAAGATGAGAAGCTGATAAATGCCACCCTCAGGGCAGGAAAGCGTGGTTACATCATTGACACAAGATCACTAAATGTGGCCCAGCAAGCTAGAGCCAAAGGAGGGGGCTTTGAACAGGAAGCTCACTATCCCCAGTGGAGGCGGATTCACAAGTCCATTGAGAGATATCATGTTCTTCAGGAGAGCTTAATCAAGCTAGTGGAAGCGTGTAATGAACAAACTCACAACATGGATCGATGGCTCGGCAAGTTGAAAACCTCCAACTGGCTGACACACATCAAGGAGGTTCTGACCACTGCCTACTGCCTGTCTGGCGGCCCAGTGCATTGACAGGGAGGGAGCGTCGGTATTGATTCATGGGACAGAAGGGACTGATTCCACGCTGCAGGTGACTTCCCTGGCCCAGATCATCCTGGAACTGAGAAGCAGGACCATCCGTGGCTTTGAGGCCCTGATAGAGAGAGAGTGGCTGCAGGCAGGTCACCCGTTCCAACAGCGCTGGGCAGTCAGCTTATTGCAACAGCAAGCAGAAGTGGGAGGCCCCTGTGTTTCTTCTCTTCTTGGACTCTGTGTGGCAGATCCTCCGGCAGTTCCCTTGCTCCTTTGAGTTTAACGAGCATTTTCTCATCATGCTCTTTGAGCATGCTTATGCCTCACAGTTCGGAACATTCCTGGGCAATAATGAAAGTGAAAGATGTAAGTTGAAACTACAGCAGAAAACAATGTCTTTGTGGTCGTGGGTCAATCAGCCCAGCGAGCTTAGTAAATTCACCAATCCACTCTTTGAAGCCAACAACCTAGTCATCTGGCCTTCTGTAGCTCCACAGAGTCTCCATCTGTGGGAAGGAATTTTCCTACGTTGGAGCAGATCCTCCAAGTATCTGGATGAAGCATATGAAGAAATGGTTAACATCATTGAATATAACAAGGAGTTACAAGCCAAGGTCAATATCCTGAGGAGGCAGTTGGCTGAATTGGAAACAGATGATGGTCTACGAGAGAGTCCTTGAAGGATGTCCCCATCTGTCCTGAGGACCTATCTAGGCCTGAGTCCGTCTCTCCCTCTGTTTGCCCTTCAGTTTACTGTACACAGTAACCTTGAACTTGGCTGTAGATGTGGGATCCTGTAATGTTATGGCTTTCTCAACACTGCAAGATGGAGGTCTCCTAACACACACCAATGTGGCCTGGTAGGCCTTTGCCATGGGAGCAGGAGATGCTGTCACATCACTAACTGTATGACACCTGTGCCCTATGCTGTCCTCTATCACCGCGTTCTGAACAGTGGTCCAGTCTAGTTAACAGTCCATCGAAAATGTGAGCCAGGCTTATACGCATTCAAATATAGAAGTGTTTTTTAAAACAGAAATGGTTGAGAAGCCAGAATTTTGTGTTTAACATGTCCTCCTGCCCCTACTCCCCACCCCAGCTGTAAAACGACCATTCTCCTTTAAAAACAGTTTTGGACTAACGAAGCCTATTTTGTCAAGAAGTAAAAATTCAGAATAGTTATTTGCGAGAAATCTTTCTGTAAGGGCAAAAAAAAAAAAAAAAGAATCCCCTGAGAAATGCAAATATGGACAAATTGACTACATTCTGGTTACCAGGAAACTCTTACATAGCATCCAAAATAGTCAATGATTTTCTAGTGCTGACTTAGGGTCAGATCACCTACTTGTTATGGACAAAATCACCTAAAACTTAGGAGAGGCATGCTAGACAAGATAAAATGGAAGATTCATTGTAAACAACTGATGAATTCAGCTGTATGGAAAGAATATAAGACAACTGCTGAAAAAAATGAGGGAAATCATTAAACAACCCTTTACAAATACAGAAAGCAAATTGGAGAAAATCAAAAGAGCTAAACAGGAGGCTTCAGAAGTGACACTTGGTTATGCAAGAAGGGCAACACCAGTAGAACAGCTTACTGCAGAGATGATCAACCTGGTGGAAGAAAGAAGGGAGCTAACGATCAATTGAAGGAACAATCACAGACATCAAAATGTCACAACTATCTGTCCAGGAAAGTCAAAAGAAGAGTGAAGAAGGATAGAGAGTTGAATATACAAGGTATATGCAAAGAGGTTGAAGAGGCTAGACTCCATAATAAAACACATCTTGTCTATGAAGCTCTCAGATGGAAAACTGCCTGAGATGCTCCTCAGATTTGGGTGATTAAAGATGGGCAAAGTCACTGGTTAACAGAACCTTTTTGTTCTGTTAACAAAGCAAAGATGGAGACAGTACTTTGACACCCTGCACAACAACCCTAATGCTGTCAACATAGACTATAATGAGAAACACTTCGGCAGCCACTCAAATACCAGAAACAATGAGAAAATATTAAATATCAACAGGAATGAGATAGAGGAAGTTATCAAGAGTGAAAAATGTAGGAAGGCCCCAGGAGTGAATGACATCATTGGTGGAGGAACTGGAGGTGGCTACAATAGGCTCAGGGCCAAGGTGCTTCTCAAGATTCTTCAGAGAGATATGGGAGCATGAAGTGATTCCCACAGAATGGAAGCATTCAGTCATAATTCTCTTACACAAGAACGACAAGATAGACTGCTAAAACTACAGGTGCATTATTTTTTGTGGCATAGCCACAAGATCTTCTTCTCCATTATCCTGCAAAGGATCAAGGAAATTCTAGCAAGGGTTCAGTGCAGATTCAGAGCTAACAGGAGTGCAATAGATCAGTTCTTCACTCTGAGGCAACTGGCAGAAAAATAAGAAGAATTTGGAGAAGACTTTGTACATGTCTGTTACACTGATTTCAGGAAGGTATTCATAGCATTCAGAGGGAAAGGACTTTGGGAAACAATGAGGTTTTACAGGTACCCAGAGAAAAATCATAAGAATAGTACAAAATGCCTCTAAAGATAGCTTTGCATCAATCAAACACTGTGGAGAACTAAGTGACCAGTTTAAGACAATTATAGGAGTGTTGCAGAGATCCATCCTCTCACTACTACTTTTTAATATATTCTTGAGATTAATAATAGCAACAGCCCTGGAGGATGAGGAGATAAGCATGTAGATATGTGGTGTGCAAGTCAATAACTTGTGTTTTGCTGATAATATAGCACTACTTGCTGAAAGTCCAAATGAGCTGCAGGCTGTGGTAGATAGAGTGGTGGCAGTAAGTGAAAACCTTGGTATGAAATTAAACATCAAGAAGATTGAGATACAGCACTTGAGAAGGGCATACAAAGATTTTAACACTGTAAGAAAGAATCTAAACCTCAATCAAACAGTCAACATTGTTTATTTGGGAGAAAACTTCAGTTCAAAGAAAGGAACTATTTCAGATACCAAGAGGCAGAACAGGATAGTGAAGGCTGAATTCCAGGCACTAAGAAAGGTTTGATCAGTAAGAGACATAACAACAACAACAACAAAATTACAAGTATATGAAACACTTGTCTTGAGCTGCCTTCTTTACAACTCTGAAACTTGGAGAATGAAACTCTCCTTAGAATAGTGACTGAATGTGTTTGAGATGACATATCTCAGGAGGATTCTAGATGTCACACGAAGAGATAGGCTGAGCATAGATGATATTAAAAAATCTCTATCTACAGAAGGAAGTAAACTACGGGGTACAGCAATGATGCTTGAAATACTTTGGCCATGTTATGAGAATGAATGATGGCAGATAACCAAAAATAGCACTGCTTGGAGGAGTGCACAAAATAAGGTGATAACGAAGGCCCCCAAAACATAAAATTGACAGCATAAAGGAAGACTCTTGAACCTTGGGTATGACGATAATACAAGCATCTAGGACTGCATGTAATCAGAAGAACTGGAGAACTACCACAAACAGGCTGCCCATGCATGCTTAAGCATTGCTGTGGCATAGACGATGAATGATTACGGCTATAATCTCAATGTAGAAGGCATACCAAATGGAACTAATTATAAGTGGACTATACATCCAGAGAGGAGTTCATATCCAGAATACATAATGAAGATTTTCCAAACTGAATGCTAATAAAAACCAATGGTGGCATTATATAAATTCTGTTTCCTCCCACAATTGTGTAAGAATAGCAAATAGTTCTTTGTTTTCTGAATTTCTCATAACTCATTACAATTTTAAAATTATTTATTTGTGTATACATATAATTTATAATGAAATATTATCATTTTCATCAAAGTCTTGATGACAGTGATTTCCCACCCATTTTTTTAAATTTTGTAAAGGAACATTGTTGAAGGAAGAGTTGTGCAGCAGAGACCAATTGTAAAACTACCTTGACACTGATGGGTGTTTGGAGTGAGCTGATATTTATCTGTATCATCAATGACTAATTCATTTCATAAGTAGGAATATCTATCCTGAAAGTCAATAATGAGCACTGAGAGTATTTGTGAAATACCATTGACTTCTGAAATTGCAAGAAATCCATCTTCCCAAGCCTTGATTGTGCTGTGCCTGTGTGTCTTCCAATAAACACCTCCAATCAAATAATTTCATTGTCAGTAAATAAAATGGAACATGAAAATCCCCCATATCTCCTCTTGCATTCAGAATAAAAAGTCTGACTTTACCACATTTATAGAAAGTTAATACACCAGGAAAGATTCAATACAGTTCTTTTGGCTAGAACTGCAACTTTCATTTGTATTTGGGAACTATTGCAAAGGTAATTTGACATCTTTACTTTTGAAAGGACTACATTGTATTAATAATTGCAGGAGCACATGTGAATGAAGTAATCTTTTTCAAACAAATGCTTATGCTTTTATGAAATGCTTATTTTATTTTTAATGACTTCTAACTATTTTCCTCTTCCTGGAGAGGACATTATGCTTTTCCTAAATTGTGATTCTTTTCTCAGTTGTCTCCTCCTCTCCTAAGTGCCAGAAACATCCTGAGGAGAGGAGACAGCATGCTGATGCTGCAATTTTCTCAGGGTACATTGTCTAGAACACCTTTGTCATAGGCAGATTTATTGTTGTCTCTACATAGAACAGATGTCTTTAAACTTTATTATATATGTTTTCCTTTAAGTACACTTGAAGACCGAGGTTTTTTTTTTTTTTTTTTTTTTTTTTTTTTTTTTTTGTACAGAGAAAGGATGAGAAGTTAGAGAAAATACTTTAGATTTCTGTTACTTCAAAGAGAAAAAGCAGGACAGATTAGGGAAAGCATCAGAAATCACTGGTTTATTCTAAGAAATGATTGGGATTTCAACAGTGTTAACAGTTATAATCTTTGTGGTAAGGTAAGTAAAGGAAATTGAGAAATGAGACCAATTGCACTGAATCCTCTAAATTCGTGTTAGAGCTACCTTCTGTATTTCTTCCACAGATTATCTTGAGTTTTATATCCAATGGGAAGTTATCTAAATGGCTTCAATCTCTCATACAGTAATATCCTGTATTCTTAGTGTTCTGTAAGAATAGATGTGATCCTCACGTTTGTCACCAGTCTCAAATGACTTAAGAGTAGGGACCATATTTATTCAATTGTGTACTTGTATTATCACACATATTTCTCAGCAACATCAAAGTTAAATGAATGAATATAAAAGAAGTTTTTGATTTTTTCAAGTATGTCTGATGTGGGGTACCCCTTGTATGATCTGAATATGTTTTATTACCATTGGTTAATAAAGAATCGAGAAGATTGGGGGGAGGGGGAGGGAAATGGGAGGCTGGGAGGAGGCGGAAACTTTTTTTTCTTATTCTCAATAAAAAAAAAAGAAAGAAAGAAAAACATTTTAAATTCCCCCAAAAGGTCTTTTTCTATTTAAGTTTAAAATATTAAAAATATTTTTCCTCTATCTTACTGTATTTTACCTTGCCATGTTTGATTGCTGTCTCTTAGAAGCCTGCTCTTTTCTGATGAGAGAGAAAGGGAGTTGATCTGGAGGGGAGGAGGAGTGTGGAAGAAGTGAGAGGAGCAGAGGGAGAGGAAACAATAATAAGGGTATATTGTATGAGAAAAACTGATCTTCAATAAATGAAAAAAAATTGTATTTTATTTCAGATAGTAGTAGAAAAAAAATAAATAAAGAATCTGCTTTGGTGTATAGTAAGGCAGAATATAGCTAGGTGGGACATCCAAGCAGAGGGATAGGGAGAAAGAAGGCAAATTCTGAGAGATTCAGCAGCTACCAAATAAGCACAATGTGATGTAACAAGTCACAAGACTCGTGGAAAAATATAGACTAATAGATATGGGTTAATTTAAATTGCAAGAGACAGTTAATAATAAGCCTGAGCTACTAGGCTAAATAGTTTATAATAATATTAAGCCTCTGAATAATTATTTTGACAAAGAGCATTGCTAGTAAGCCACATGGCACATGATGATACATAGATTATTAGAAATCAATTAATATATGTAGAGCTAGCCAGTAAGAAGCCTGAGCTATTGAACAATTAAATTATTAAACCTCAAAATGTTTATTTTATACATAGCTTCAGGGACTGGTGGGCCAGAAAGAAACTGGTTCTGGGGACCACA